GTAAAATTGTCAATCTTTCAAATTTTTTATGTAGAAAAGGCTTTGTGTTGCCAACATAGTTACTAAATTTTTGACTTGGGGAATTATCTTTAAAAAAAAAACAGTCTTTATGTGTTTTTTCAGTGTGCTTCACAGAATTAAATTATAATTGCATTGAAAGAATGTATTTAACATGTAAAATCCTAATCATTCATTTTGGTCCAGTGGCGGCTCGTGGTGGCCAAGTAAGGGTGGGCGACAAAAATAAAAAACAGCCGTTGGTAATTTTTTTTAGGTCGCGGCCTTTTCAAATATTGTATTAAAAGTTTTTTTTATTTTTCCATTTTTTCTCCAAGGTGGCGGTGCCCATATGGGCGAACCGCCACTGCTTTGGTCACTAGTGACGAAAGTTAACGTTATGGGATATTCTGTCACTAGTGACGAAAATGACGTTTTTGGCTGGTGAAATATGACAAAAAATTTATATTTTTTGATGGTTATAAAAACAATAATTTTTTTGAAGATTTAAAATGAACCTTTTTGGGCCTGGCCGTGGTAACCGAAAAAAAAAATGTCCGCCTGCGGTGGTCGTCACTATATCCCAAACAAATATGCCACTAGGGCAGAACCTCCAAATTTTTGGGCCACGAGCCGCCACTGATGAACACCATAATGAAACGCGGGTAACGTTAAACCCCGAGGCGTTAGCCGAGTGGTTTAGGGCCGAATTTATAGTCGTTCCTTGAGTCTTCCTTGGAGGTCGTGAGTTTAGAATGGACACTTGCTACTATTTGACAAGTTAGTCATGTCAATTCTAAACGTTCAAGGCTCCCTTAAGGTCTGAGGAAACCTCAAGGAGCGACTATAAATTCGGCCCTTAGTTACACAAGTTTCATTAATAAAGTTCATATCGAACGTGTATCATTCAAAATTTAATCTACGATGGTCCAAATAGATTTGATTTGCCTTGAAATAGCAAACATTTTTCAATTTAAAATTCAAAATTTAGCAGGTGCCTGTACTAGTCGGGAACCTGCTTGTTGATTTTTAGAACTTTGACTTTGGCAGCTTCAATATTAGAGTCAATTTTTGTACCATAATTAAGGTTTATATTGGAATATAATGTTAAAATATTGGTGATTCTGAGCTCGAATGTGTTCCTTCGAATATCAAGACAGCATTAATGAAAAGGTTCCTCTGGTAACTAGCTTTCTTTTTGTATATTTTTCATTTCATAATTTGGCTGTTTTTATGAATTCTTAAACGCAGTAGTGCTATAATGAAGGACTTAATGACATTCAAATGACAATTACTGTATTCCTTTTACCTGTTGAGTTACTCGGAGCTGTTCAATGTCAAAAGCTTGAATGTTCCTTTTGAAAGTTAACGAGTCGCTCATAGTGCATCCCCCTTTCCCCTGATGTACCAAATTTGCGATGGGTGCAAGAAGCCCTTTTAGGTAATGACGGTAATGTTAATATTAAAAAATAATGATAAAACCTGAATTGTGTATTTTGGAGTGACTCCGAGGAGCTCGTTCGGTGTAACTCGATGTATAAAAGGAATACATTGAGTCATTCTGCAGTGACATGTGTACTAGTGCTGATCGTTGTGAAAAGTGCTAAGAAACAGGTAAGTTGATTATGGTTATTTTAGTTTGAAATATTTAACTAACCTTATGGAAATTGTTGTATATATGTATGCCGAGTATAAAATTTATGATTTTTGCCAATAATATGGCATAAAATCTCTATAAATTCAAAATTCTGAGCTGTCGATAATTGGTACATCCATTTTTAATCTTTGTACCATTTATCGACATAGGTGCGTCGACAGCTGGTGCAATGCAGCCTTCTCTTCTCCTCTAAATATTAAAATATCCACTGAACTTAATCTTATTCTGTCTGAAAAATGTGAAGAAAATTATATTAAACTAACGTCGTACCAATTATCGACACCCATTTTTCCCCTTTGGTAACAACGTTAGTGGATGTATTATGTGTCGGTGTTTGGTACCAAGTATGTCGATAACTGGGACTCATTTTTTTTTCAGAAGAAATATACTCAAGATGAACAAAAGCAAAATATTCCAATATTCGTTAGAGAAACGGATATTTCACATTGCTACTTGTGGGTTTCCTGCAACAAAACTGCAGATTATAGAGAGTAGTGTACAATTACTGCTGAAAATCTAAAAAGACCGAATAATTTTATCAACGGAAGACCAGGGGCCTCATTCTGTAAGGAACAAACCTTTCGATTCGGTAGAATTTCTTCGATCGTGACGTCATTTTCGGTTTGGTTTTCGCTAGGGCTCGGAATTTCTAAAATTCAAGTATTCGAATAGTCGTTTGGTATTTTATTCGAATAGTTGAATAATTCGAATATTCGAATACCTATTCGAATAGTCGAATATTCGAATAGTCGAATATTCGAATAGTCGAATATTCGAATAGTCGAATATTCGAATAGTCGAATATTCGAATAGTCAAATATACGAATAGTCGAATATTCGAATATGTAGTCAAAAAGTCGAATATTCGAATAGTCTAATATTCCAATGGTCAAATATTCCGATAATCATTTATGTTAGTTAGTTTGTACTTTGTCGTACTGTTAGTAGTGGTCTATTTTTAATTAAATACCGGTACCTTACCGGAATAGTCGTTTAGGTGACTATTGAAAATCTAAACATTATTTTATTCAAATTTGTAATGTATAAGGTGAGTAATTGCATTGTTAAATAGTCCAATATTCAAATACATAGTCGAATAATCGAATAGTCGAATATTCAAATAATCGAATATTCGAATAGTCGAATATTCGAATAGTCGAATATTCGAATAGTCAAATACTCGAATAGTCGAATATTTGAATAGTCGAATATTCGAATAGTCGAATTTGCTAACTAACAAAAAAGTCGAATTTAGAATAGTCGAATAGTCGAATTATTCGAATACAATTCCGAGCCCTAGTTTTCGCACTACCAAACCGAAAATGACGTCACAATCGGAGAAATTCTACCGAATCGAACAGTTCGTTCCTTACAGAATTAGGCCTCTGGGGCCTTATTCATCATCACTGAAATCTAGGTCCTCCATCTCTTCCCAATATCAAAATTCAAGCCAAAACCAGCACTTTTTTAAAAAAATCAGATAGAAAATAAGAGAAAATGTTGAGTTCAACCCAGGGTTAAATACGCTAACTTGCAGTCAGAGCGCGGGTTAACTTTTCCTAGAATAACTTTCGAGTTAGCAGTTGACCCTGGATGGATAAACACTTGTGACAACTTTGACCCAAGGTTATCCGTAACGCATTGGGGTTTGGATAAACCGGCCCTAAAAGGGTGAAATTTTACACAGGCAATTATTAATTCTTCTATGTCGGGGTTCTTATAGAGGGAAGAGGAAACCCATTTTCAATAAGAGCCTCATACCCTTGAGCACCAGGTCATGTCGTTTTAAAAACAAATGATTTCAAGAGCTTCTTATATCTGTCCAGCTTTTTGTGCTCTTTGCTTGTCCCAATTTAACCAAAATTAGTTGTTGATTCTCGTTTAATTTTTTTTAAATTCCCCTTTTGAGATTGTTATAACGGATTTTCCATGTTACCACTTCATTCTTAAGTTGTTTCAGATTTTTATCATCAGCATCTTCATTTCAAGTATTAAATTATAATTTTCTAATTGAATTGATTAAATATAAATAAATTTCTATTTGAAACTGGACAAGAATCTTTTTTTTAGAAGTGAAACAGGAGAATATACCAGGATTTGCGTCACTTTTCTTTCAGCATGGAAGAAAAATTAACAACGCAATTTCCGAAATAAAACGAGTCAATGGTTAAATTAGTCAAATATGTATTGGAAAAATTAAATTATAGCTACCAGGGGCTGTGAGGCTGTTCTTTCAACATACATTGAACATGGACAATCTTAATTAATTTTCAAAAACGAATGAGGCAATTTCTGGAGTAAAATTAAAACGAGTCATGGTTAAATTATAAAAATATTAGATAAAATTTTTTTTCTACAAACGTGTTAAAAATGCAATTTTTAACACCCCCTCGAAGCATTAAAAATGTTACTTTATTGCACTAGTGTTAAAAGTCTTTAAGGCACTAGTGTTAAAAATTAAACATCAAAATTTGAAAGCAAACGTCAAAAAAAGTTTGTATTTTTAATTATTTACATTAATATTAATGGTAAAATTTGAACAACTGAGGAAGCTCCATCGGCCGCCTCCTCTATATTTTTCAAGGGATTGATGCAACCCTCTTTTTCTTGTGTATTTTGTTGCATTTTTAGCAAAAAGCTTACTGACCACGATAGACCATACGACAGACTTTCAAGAAACTGACGAGACATTTCATTACCTGTAAAACAAGGTGCTGGTTGTTTGAATTTTTTGACAAATATCAAATTCAATAATTTTACGTAGGAAAGATGCTGCCAATTTATTATTCATTTAAAAATCCAATTTGTCACTGGTTATTGCCGTTTGTAGAAAAAATATTGTATGATATTTGTGTTAAAAGTATTTTTAAGGCACTTATGTGAATTGCAGAATTCGCTTCGCTCATTCTGCAAACTTTCACATGCGTGCCTTAAAAATGTACTTTTAACACTTATATCATAAATAACTATTACAGACGCTTATGATATAATCAAATTTGACAAAAATGACTCGTTTTCAAAAATTGTGACATCGACTTATCGCTACCTATCTAATTACGTAGGTAAAATTGCCGACGGATTCAGTGACCTAATCTAATTTCCCTGGGGTAAAATGATTGTTTCAAAAAAATCAAGGACAAAAAAAGACACTTTCTAGTTTCTGCACGTTAAATACACTTTTCCTAAGGAAGTTATAAGAGGGTGTATTCAAAATCTGTATGAAATAAAACCTATTGTATTTCATCAAGAACAAGGATAGAAATATGTGATGCTTCTTTTTTTTTCAAATGCTCTCTTCAAGGAGTTTTAAACGAATTTAAATTAAATAAGAAATAAAACACACATAGTTTGTATAATAGATTTATTAGACATTGCCACACAAGGCTTTTACTTAGTAATATAATAATAATATTTAAACAGTTTGCATTATGATAAATGATAAGAAAAAAACAAACTTTTTTTTTTTGGTATTTACTAATTATATTTTTGTTGCAAGATATAATATGGCTCAAAATAACTATACACGGAAAAGAGAATAAATGTGCTTATTAAGAGGAAAAGAAAATCATTACATGATTAACACAAACCACATTGTCTAAATAACAAACATAGTCCCAAAAAATTAGTATAAACAAATGGCAAAAAAACTTTAGGGAATAGCATCCGCAAAGATTTTCACCCAATTAGGTAATAGTAAAATTAAAACCAACAAATCAAGAACGCTGAATGTGAAGCCAATACTGGGCGCTAGTAACACATCTTAAAAATAATATCACTAATTTTATTAACTTTTTTCATCTCTCAGACAAGTTAATAAGAAATAACCATTAACACGTTACACTCCCACCCAGAATCAAAACTACAAAAATCAATTTTTGTTTTGTTTAAAAAAACAGAGCCTATAGCATGTAAGTTAAATATGAAAGGCAGAGAAAACTATGAAGTATTTGAGGGATACAAAGTTGAGGTTGATGGCTGTTAGGTTTGTAAATAATTGTACGCAAGCAATTTGAAGTATGTACCAAGGTAAATAAGCTAAAAGCTGACTAGAATCTATTATAACCGAACATAAAGCTTCTGTTTTTTTTTTGTTTTCATTTACGTTCCTTAACCAGAGAGTCTTACCGAGAAAAAAGAAACCACAACATTTAAATCAAACAACAAAATTACACAATTCAGCTTCTTTTTTGCTTGTTCAATGTTGGCAATGTTCCAAAAACAATATAATTTCATTAAACAAAAAATAATAATTGCAGTTCAATTAAAACCTAAAATTTGATTTACCTAAAAATAACATATTACTTGCACAATAGAGAAAAGAACTTAATTTTTTTTTTGCTAAATTAAAAAATAACTAATTGGACAAAAGTACCCCGAGAAGAAATGAATTCTTTTTTTCTTGATGGATGGATGCATACTGAAGATAGTACAAAGGCAAATATTTTGATTTGCTGTGGGTAAATGGCAACACTGTATAAAGCGCATCACGCATAGGAAAAACAAATCTGTGGGGACTTTTTATTGCGATTTCGGCTAATAGGTCTACATGGAAAGCAACACATGGGAATATTTTGTTTGAATTGCTTGTTCCTGCAATATTTTCTTGTGTGAATAGAATGTTTCTGGTAACCGGCAACAAAATATTCATATGCGTTTCTTTGGTGTGGACATTGGACATACCTTTTTTTATCGATTGTTTTAAATGTACATATAAAGACCTTTTTTTTGATCCGCATTTTCTACTACTTCTGATTTTAAGACTTTTTAGGCAAAACCTGGATTTATGAACTTGAGGTAGACGCACAGTAGAGATTAATTTGAGGTGGACAATGCTTAAAATTTGGCGTGATTTATAGTTTTGAGCTCTACTCATCTAACATTCACCTAAGCTTTTGTTGAATTGGAACTTAACTCTAACATCGTATTTACAAATCAGGCTAATAAAATTGCTATTCTTTCTACTTTCTTCAATATGCTATTGAAACTAGTTTATATAGATTTGATATGGTAACATGAAGACATACAGAGTGTTAAGTAAAAAAGGGCTTGTATAACCAATGATTGAAATCAAAGAATCAGTAAATTTAGACCAGAAAATCATCTATATCAATGACTATAGAAGGTAAGTTTGTATTTATTGAAAAATCTTTTCTCATCTATCTTCGCATTCCAGTGAAAGTTGGTTAACTTTTTACTCATCATCTGTATTATGTCTTTTCCTTCGAGTGCAATTTGCCAACATCTTTTTTCTGAGATACCCCCAAGTCCAATAATAATTTAAAAAAAAATAGATACACCTTATCTCAATTGAAAAAGTGCAAACCCAACAGAAACGCTGGTTCGTCTTTTATTTTTGCCCAACAAAGGTAATATCGCAATATAAACAATTGGACAAAAATATTGCCTCTGTTGGACAATTTTCTCTCCTTTTTCTCTCAGGCCAAAAAAAAAAACAATATTTAAACAATAGATAATTGGCTATATACATAACAAAGAAGCTAAAATGACATTACATACCTAATAATTTGCATTTATTTATTTTTTTTAATAAAAACTAAAACGTCGAAAATATAATTTGAGTGGCAATAAGGTATTGAATATAGAACATATAAGTCTTTTTTTTTGTATGTTTCATGTTTAACTTTTTACACAGGCAGTTGGTGGTCATTTTTTGGAAGAGAATTTTATTTAGCCCATTAAGTACTGCTAATAATTATTACTAGTGAATTTATTATTAGGAAAGATTGTGTTTAATATAAAAAAATTTGATAAAAATTAGCAAAACGCTCTTCCATAAAAAAAAGAAATAAACACATCCCGGTAGAGAGTAATATCATTGACGGTGAAGTGTCCAGCACTTAAAAAGAAAAACATACAACCACCCCGGCACAACACGTGTTCACTTCAGACGCAGAAAACTGACTACCTTGCCAGGTCAGCTCGTTTCTCACGCGTAAATTTTTGTGTCCGCTCGTTGCACTACTACGAAATAAATCGTCTATGGAGGCGCGGCGAGAGGCACAGAAGATTTTTGTTGAACTAATCGCAACCGAAACTGTCGATCCATGGGATAATGGAGACAGATTCAATTGGCAATTTGGCATTGTGGCGGCGATGGCCGTGTGGCGGGGCTCAGATTTTCTGGATCTTTTCGCCGACGACTACGGGGTTGTTGCGTCGGATTTCTTGCGCTCCCATTTCTCTATAGTTAAAGCTGCAGTCGTGCTTGTCGCTGTACCGGTGGACGGCGCAAAATAGTCCACCGCAACGGCATTCAAAACCTGGAAAGAACAAGAAAAATGTTGAATTTTTCAATTTACTCTGTTTGCTACCATAAGCAAAGCAAGGTCAAGTCACAGTTTGAAAATAACCTCAGATTATTCCAGCAAAACTAATGAATGGATTTATTCATTAATCTATTCATCAAATATTTTCAGTACTTTGTATGATATTAATACACTTTTGAGAGATTTGTGCCGCTTTTAATACATGAGCTGAGAGAAATTAGAAATTGTTTCAATACTAAATGCAATAGTGTAGGCAATTGGTAAAAATGTTACGGATGTCCTAATTGAAATCCAAAAATTCCCAAAAAAAAAACTATCTTGGGGAAAATCCGCTATCTCGGGAAAAAAGGCATAGCAAGTGAACCGGGCGTCCGATTTTATTTATTTTGGTCAAATTATTATTATTATAATTGTGATATCTCTTTTTCTCACTTTGCACAAACTGGTGTTTCTGAGATGACGGGGTTTTACCAAGTCTTCTCAGAGTCTATTGCCCGAATTGAGGAATGAGCGTACTATATTGCAGGTTTTAAGGATAACAGACTTTTGTATGTTTATGTTGATGTAAGGGTTGAGACCGAGTTGCTCGAGATGTGCATTAATGATGTGTGGGGTGATGCCTGTGGTTGAGATGATGATGTATGATAATTTTTTTTCTGTTTCCAGAGTCTCTGAACTTCTATGGCTAGTTCCGTATATTTTGCTATCTTCTCATTATATGTGGTCTGAATATTGAGGTTATTTGGTATGGAAATGTCTATGAGATAAGGTTATTTGTTCTTTTTTCTTTTGGAAAATGATGTCTGGTCTATTGCATGTTATTGTTTTATCAGTGCGGATTTCTATGTCCCAATTCAGTTTGTATTCGTTAGTATCTATGATCGTGGTTGGGGAGTATTTGTAGTTTCGGTGTATTCTATACTCGCTAAAATTTTACATCCACCAGTGATATGATCTATGGTTTCTTTGGATTGATGACATTTTCTGCAGGTGTCGGTATATACGTTTCAGTCTTTTATGTACTTTTGGTAGTTTCGTGTAGCTATGATTTGATCCTGTATTGTAAGGAGAAATCCTTCTGTTTCAGGGAAGAGGTTCCCATTTTCAAGCCATTTATAAGAGAGTTCTTTTCATATGTGGTCGTGTTGTATGTTGTATCTGTGTTTTCCATGTAGCTGTTTTCTGGTCCATATATTAAGTTTTTCCTCTATATTTTATGTTTGGTTGAATGTATCTGATGGATGACTAGTTGTGGATAATTCTTAGGGTGTGTAGTTTTTGTTGGCTTTACAGACTGCTTGGTGGAGTGGTTTTCGTTTCCCAACGAAGAATATCCGAAGTTGTTGGATTTGTTTCGTGTCTATTGCGAATATCTATCGTTCCTCTTCCTCCATCTTTTCTGCTGATTGTTACTCTTTCTTTGCAGGAGTTCGGATGTAGTTTTTGAATCGTGAGCTCTAATCTAGTGAGGGTATGGAGACCTTCTAGGTCTTTTTGACTACATTCAATTATACCAAAGGAGTATGTAAGCATGGGGATTGCAAATGTGTTAAATGGTTTTGAATACAATGGCGTTCTTAATATGGCTCCTAATCTTTGTTTGTATTGCTTCGTCAAATGTGTTTTTATATCTGTATCTGTGGTTTATTTTGGTGTTTTGATGGAATCCGAAGTATTTATATGCTTCGTTTTCCGTCATATTGTCCAGTATCTCATTGTTCAAGATTTCTCCCTCTAAGCTTTCTTTCCATTTTCCCCTCTCTATATGTAGTATTTTACATTTACAATACCAAATTGCTTTTGTATGTCCGTTGTAAATGTTTCTGTGATCTTGAGCAGTCCTTCAAGTTGTGTTGTTGTTGAAGCGTAGATTTTTATGTCATCCATATATCATTAATTAATTTTATGTTGTGCTATTTTTCTATTTTTTAAGCTAAAGCCGTATTGGGGATGATTTAGTGAGTTTGAGAGTGGATTTACGCACATGCAGAACCATAAGGTACTTAGTGGATCACCCTGGAAGACATCTTGTCGGTTTCTGATTCTGATGTTATTGTAATTTTAGTTCTCCAGGTTTCCATTATTTCTGTCAGGAATTGTTTGAGCTTTGTATCTACTCTGTAGGTGTCTAAGATTTTTATTAGCCAGCTAGCTATGAGGTACGGAGTCAAAACCCTTTTTATATTCCATGTAGCAGGTGTGCAAATTTTTGCGTTCTTTTTCGGTTTGTTTTAAAATGACCGAGGCTATTAATAATTGCTCTTACATCCTGTTTGCTGCTTTGTGAGTATGTTATATTGCGCTCACTAGATGTTTTTCTATTTTTTTATGTACGAACCATACTGTAAGAGCTTATTACATAACCCATTTTAGCCTGTTTGAGTTATGTATTTATAGTGCTGTACATCACTAGTGGTTTAATATTAAATCACTAGTGATGTAATAAGTTCATTACGTAACTCGTTTTTATTGAAAAAAATCTGTGTCGTACATAAAATGTTGTATATCACACGTACGGTAACGCTTATTACACCACTCGTGTGGTTACCATTACTCGGTCTACGACCTTGTCTTGGCAATATTCCCCACTTGTTACTGTAATGAAGCTCATACAGTACTAGTAATATAAATAACTATTACATATGGTAGTGGTAATTATTTTTTATAGTGTAGGTAAGCATGGTATTGGTCTGTATTAGTTAGCTGGATTCTTTGTGTCTGCGTTTTTCGGTTTAATCTATGTATTGCCCCGTTTTAGGAATTTTGGGAATGTGTTTGGGTGGCAGATGCTTTTATTTATTTCTCTGGTTAGTGCTTCGTGCGTGGATGTGAGCTGCTTATACCAGAAATTTTGTATTTTATCTGGTCATGGGCATTTCCAATTGCAAGTATGTTTGATGGTCTCTAAGAGTTCTTCTTGTGTGATGTGATGGTACATTTGTTTTTGTATGTGATTGTATCTTTCTGTTTCTGTTTTGATCCAGTTGTTGCTATCTTTGTCTCTTAGGGGCACACTCCATATGTTTGACCAGAAATCTGTTAGTTCTTGCTTAGTAGGTATCTCTGTTATGGGCATGTCTTTTTTTGGTAATATGGTTTTACAAAAATGCTTTTCGTTTCTTTTGAATGCTATGTTTGTATTTTTTCTGTCGTTGGACTCTTTATATCTCCATAATCTGCCGGCGTAAAAAGCAAGTTTTTGTTTGATGGTGTCGAAGGTTTCTGGTTCTGTTAGTGTAATAGTTATTTATATTACTAGAACGGTATGAGCTTCATTACAGTAACTAGTGGGGAATATTGCCAAGACGAGGTCGTAGACCGAGTTGTGGTAATCACACGAGTAGTGTAATGAGCGTTACCATACGTGCGATATACAACATTTTTCATTATCTTCATTGTTTTTTTTTTCCTGATGTATTGCCCTTTAAGTGTTGACTCATGTGCCCTATATTTCTTACTAGATTTTCAATTTTATTTTCTATTCTAGTTTGCCATTTTGGTTTATGTTTTTCTCTTGTTTTCCCTGTTTGCTGTGTTGTATATGAGCGTTTGGATGTTTTCTAATGAGCGTGAGTGTGTTAGGTATTGAGAAATTAGAGTGTTTGTTGTGATGATGATTTAAATATGAGCGTTGGGATAGGGTTTCTCAGGTTTGGGTTTGTTTCCTGCCAGTGTGATAGGTTAATTTCCATTTCTTGATTGAGAGTCTCCTCTAGCTGCAGGTTTTCATCCACTATTGAGTGCAGGAGTACTGTAGGTGGCTGAGCTATTAGTTGTATTTCGTTAGTGGCAGCTTTTGTATGTTCTGGTATTGCAATATTGAAATTTGTTTCTCCACTAACATCAATGATATCATTGAGCTCCTCAGCGACTTCTCTTTTTATCATTGCAAGTTTTACAGCTGTAAGTCTATTATTTTTCAAAATTACTCTTTTTTGATCTATTAGGCGTTGTTCTGTTACAATTTTTGATAGTTCTGGGTAGGTTTTGTGGAAGAGTTTGTGTGATTCGTGTCTGTATCCTGCCTGGATGGCTTCCAATTAGGTTGTTTTGTAGTAACAACGCATGACAGTTCTATTCAGTTGGTTCTTCCATGTCATTCGTTGTCGTATTATGCTTTGTGATTGGGGAGTCCAGGCAAAGCACATTTGGCCGGTGTACCATTTTGTTCTTGGGTTGAATCACTGTTAGGGATATTGTGGTTTATATCGTATCCTGGTTTAAGTAGTTCCAAATATCCTGCTGACAGATTGCCAATTAGTAATAGATGTATAGTAAGTGTAAGGTTTGATCTATTTATAATTGTTTGTTTGGTCTCTATTGTTATCCTTTTTGATTTCATTGTTCTATTTTTCGAGTATACAACAAAATTAAGTTTTAATATTTCTGACAGCGCTAAGATTTCCAGACTTGTTCCGTATGTTGTTGTTTTCTTCATATGGGTACAGTAGTTGTCTATGTCACTTAATTCAAAGCTTTCAATTAATGCAAATGATTTTAATTCATCCCAATCTTTTTTAAGATAGTTTAAAGACTTGTCTCTCAACTCTTTCTGTTTATCTTGATGGTCATACAAAAATTTGCTCACTGCTCTAAAAAGACAACTTCCATCTCCAACAATATCCACTCTCAGAAAGGTTGTTGTTTCTTGGTACTGATTGGTATTGAGATAAAGGTTAAGGTTGGCTGTAGGTTTTTGAAGTTCAGCGTCGGCTCCAAACCCGCCTTGGCGATCCCCAGGCAATGACTTGTTTACGTATTTATCATTCACCATATTTTCATAGGGTCCCCAGGGGATACGGCATTTTTGTCCTACTGCCAGGTGACTCGGATCCGTGAGGGTGTCGGACGGAGCCCAAGATAGTCCGACAGAGGTCAAACTATCTCCCGTGCGGGGGTTTGGTTTCTTGATTGGAGATTTCGGGCTAAGATTACTAGACAGACCTGAGGAAAGAAAATGCTAGAGAAATTAAATTATTATTATTATCTTATACTGTCTCGCATTTCTGCGGTTTCCGGAAACCATCGACATTTCTGCAAAATGGTTACCGCTGCTATTACGGTATATTTAAAAACTTACAGATGATATTGCACGTGGTCAAGGTCGTGTGCAAGGTCCGCATATTTTGTAAGCATTCCCTGTATGGTTTCTTGCATATTGTTTTTCTTGGGTATGGCCACATTAATCAAGATCGTCGACCTTTATTAACTAGGACAATATCTGGTCTATTTGCTGGGATATATCTGTTAGTGAGGATTGTTCTATCCCAATACAGTGTGATTTTTTAAGTGTGCAACATACAGGGGTATATTTTAAGTGATACCACTATTGCTATATCCGAAACGGTAAGAGCTAAAAGGTCGGTTAAATTAGGAAAAAGTTGCCTTTTTTTATGCCCATTTAAGACTCGTTTACAGTGCTGCCAAATTCTTTTTAGTTTATGAAATACAGGGTGATTTCTAAGAAACGCCCAAAACTATTTCATCAATTATTTTGAAAACTATTGATTTTCGAGACACAATTTAAATTTGAAAGTTTTTTAATTTTTCTCGCTCTACAACATGGTGTCATCAAATTTCAAATCTGACGTTTCGTAATCGAGCTACCATCATCAACTTCATTTTTTTTAAATACGGACCTGGATTTTTTATGTCATTTTTAGAAAGTGCCTTTTATTCCCTTTGTAAAAATGACATAAGAAGACCAGGTCCGTATTAAAAAAAAAATGAAGTTGATGATGGAAGCTCGATCACGAAACGTCGGATTTAAAATTTGAAGATGCCATGTTGTAGAGCGAAAAAAATTATGAAACTTTCAAATTTAAATTGTGTCTCGAATATCAATAGTTTTTGAAATAGTTGATGAAATAGTTTTTGACGTTTTTAAGAAATCACCCTGTATTTCATGAACTGAAAGGAATTTGACAACACTGTGAAGAAGTTTTGAATGGGCACCAAAAAAGGCAACTTTTCTCTAATTTAACCGACCTTGTAGCTCTTACCATTTCGGATATAGTAATAGTGGTATCACTTAAAATATACACCCTGTATATGGGGATTTTTTTTAGAACTAGCACAACCCAACCAAATACAAACAAGGCCAAAAGCGCTTAGTTTAGTTTTAAGAACTTGAATTACTCGTTTTGTATAGGTGTCTTGCACCTGCGCTTTCATAAGTTTGTGCTTGGTGCGTAAAGATTGGTCCATCCCTAGGTACTTGTAAGTTTCTCCTTCTCTCATCGGCTCGATGGTATCATCGTCCATAGGTTCAAAAGAACTTGCTAAATGTTCACCCTTAGTTATGGTCTGGGTTTTGCATTTATCCAGACCGAATGCCATGCCAATATATCGGGAGGAGATCTTGTTCGTCGATTTTTATCTGAGACTTTCCGTATGAGGAGCGAGGGAGTGAAGTATATGGCAGAAACAGGTGTGACTTCAGGTGACCATTGGCGTTTCAATGTAGGGTGCCACCAGCTCAGTCCTTTCGAGTATCATATTAAAATCGACGGACTTTATGTGTTTTTGTCCCAGAATAACACTTGATGTCATCCATAAAGACAAGATGGCTAGCTTGGTAAAGGGCTTCACGTTCATTTTTTATTGAGAATCCGTGGTTGCTGCTTTTTTAGCATATAAGATAAAGGATTAAGCGCTAAGCAAAACCACAAGGGACTAAACGAGTCGCCTTGGAATATTCCTCTATTAATCTTAATTGTGTCAGTGGTGATTGACCCCGTTTGGTGGTCGAGTACCAATTTGGTCGACTATCTTGTCATCAGACACTCCAGAAGCTTAACTATCGCGGGTGAAACCTTGTAGAGCAGTAAGACCGGAACCGAGTCGAATGCCTTCTTATAGTCGTGTAAACGTTTCTTAGTTTCTTCAGTTCTTGTTCAACAATTACTGTGTCAATCAGCAGCTGTTCCTTACACCCCTGAGCTTTTTTAACGCAGCCCTTTTGCTCCTCTGCTAGGATTTCATTTTGCTCACAGTCGTTGTATATCTTTATGAGGAATGGAAATAATATTCAGCTTTCTTGGACTAATTTATTAAATTTAAAAATCAAATAGCCAACGTTTCGATGCTGGTTAGCATCATCATCAGAGCCAGATTATTCTAATTAAAAATCAAACACATTATATAACTGCAAACGTTAAAAATGTTTGTATTATTATGGACTACCATCATTGCCGCAAAAATCTAAGGTCACCTTAGACAACGCAAAGTTGTGGTACACAGTCACACAGATAGTTCAAACGGAAGGAGTCGGACTGAGAATAACTTGACCAAACTTTAAAGTTTTAACTGTCTTTAGCAATGGGTAAAACGGCTACAAAATTTCAAGCTGAAGTACTGGCCATAAACATCTGTGCACAAGAGTGTCTTAAAAGAGGCCTTTCAAGAGAGCACATTTACATACAGTCCGACAATCAAACGGCTCGAAAGGCTCTAAGAGCCATCAAGTGCAATTCTCAGCTAGTTTGAGAGGGTAAAAATATCCTTAAACAACTGGCTGGGACTGCTGGGAGGAATAAAGTAACTCTGATGTAGGTACCAGGACACCAGGGCATAGAGGGCAACGAGGAGGCGGACCATCTCACAAAACAAGGCGCTTTACCATCTTTTCAAGGCCTTTTTGCGGACCAATGAAAAGCAACGTCTCCGAAGAAATGAACAGATAAAGGAGGTTCGTAGCCATCTCAGCAAGGAGATCTGAACAACTTCTTGACATGAACAGAAGAAACATTAGAATAGTCGTTGATCTCACTGGGCATTGCTTGGTGAAATATCACCCAAAAACAATAGGCAAATCAGACAACGACCACTGCAGATCTTGCGAACAAGCAACAAAAACTACAGAACACTCAATCGAACACTTAATCTGTGAATGCCCTGCTCACTTCTGCAAAAGGCTGAAATACCTTAGAAGGGGTAATGCTAACACCCAAAAAGGTGGGCACTTTATCATCTAGGAAGCTGGCCTCCTTTGGGAGAAGCCTACAAATCTTGGGCAACCAGAGCGGCTGGAACAAACTATAACGATTCCTAACAGTCTACAAAAAAACGGGAAATAAGAATATTCAAAAATAATTTACCAAAATAGTTAACATACAGAGTGTCAATTTGAAAACTTCCCACCCCTATTATCTCGGAGCAGAAAAATTTTCGAAAAAATCCCTGAAACACGTCAACTTCAATTTGAAGAGGGATGAGTTTTTATGCAAAATTCACCTTTCCCCTTTCAACACCCCAGCCCCCAGAGCCACCCCCTAGAAAATTTTAAATGGGAAGGGGGGTCGAGTGATACATCATTTTGAAGGGTTTTTAATTCCATACATTTAAGTATGAAATTTTAATTCCTAAGCTCAACTGTTTTGGAAATATTGACAGTTGAAAATTGACTTTTTTGCAACTTTGACAAGCTGTAAAACCTAAACGGTTTATTTTAGAGGAAAACCGATTTTACATTCTTGTCTTAGATTTTTACAAACTATCATTTGACAGCAACTTCGAATTTAATCCACGATTAAAAATTCCGGTTGAAAATTTAATCTCCGGTTAAATTCAAAAATGGTGTCAAATGATAGTTTATGAAAATCTAAGATAAGAATGTACGATCGGTTTTCCTCTAAAATAAACCGTTTAGGTTTTACAGCCTGTCAAAGTAGCAAAAAAGTCAATTTTCAACTGTCAATATTTCCAAAACAGTTGAACTTAGGGACTAAAATTTAGTACCAAAATGTATGGAATTGAAAACCCTGTAAAATAATGTATCACTTAACCCCCCTTCCCATTTAAAATTTTCTAGGGGGTAGCTGTGGGGGCTGGGGGGTTGAAAGGGGGGAGGTGAATTTTGCATAAAAACTCATCCCCCCTCAAATTATAATTGACGTGTTTCAGGGATTTTTTCGAAAATTTGTCTACTCCGAGATAATAGGGGTGGGAAGTTTTCAAATTGACACACAATATCTGCTCTGGAGCAGTTGCATTGTGCAAGGAGTAAATACTTCCAATTTGAAGCAAATACTCTAATTTATTCATAAGAAAAAGAGTATTTGCTTCTTCCTGGAGCATTTGCTTCCGACTTTTAAGTGAGAGGTTTTGCTTGAACTTTTATTCATACTGGATGAAGCATTTGCTTCAGATTTTGGGAGAAAAAGCAAATGCTCTTTTTTATTCATAGAGTAGAATAACTTTTAGATCGTGGAAAGGCTCGTGAACGGGAGAAGTAATTCCCTGAGAAATGAACGGTGGCGCTTTTTCCGGATCTTGTAAAAGTTTATTGAAGTGGTGGACTATATGTTTATGAAATATGATGGAGTTGTAAGTTATTTCTACAATTTAAACTTGCTGCTCTATTAGGTTGCTGGTATGGATTGCGTAGTGAGGGTGGATGATCTATGAAATCCTTCTCCTGTCCAAGTTGCCATGTTTGCATCACTTCTCGTAGTTTGCTTTACTTGATCTCTTGGACTTAAATAATTTTCAATTTACTTTTAAATGAATTAGGACATGAACAATTTAAACATGATTAATTTCACATCACACTTTCAGTGCTAGACATCATTTAATTAGGGTCTTTTAATAATATTCTGTGAATTCTCAATTAGAACAAACCTGTTATCTATAACAGGAAAAGAATAACGACACTTACCAGTTAATCCAACCTTCTTTTTGCATGTCGCACACCGGTTTTTTTTCTTTCTTGCATCCTTGTCGCTGTCCCTTTCGTCACTGCTGCCAGGCGTCGCGGCGTCCGAATCTGACGGCGATGCTGGACTGGGCGATGGTGCTTCGTCATCGGGAATAACTACGCCAGCCACGGCTGCAGCCGCAACAGAGGCCTGGTGAGAGGGAGATTGTGACTCTTCCGTACTCTTTAAAAAACAAAAAATAAATCATTTATCAACAAATAATGATGCAATAGGTACATTTATATCAAGTTTTCTTTGAAGCAGGAAACCACTTTGGACTGGTAACAGAAACCAAAATGCTTAAGAATCTACAGTTGCAATTTTAGAAATTGAATCCACATTTAGTGTAAAATGCAATAATTCAAATATATTATGCCCCAAAAAAGTATTATTTATGATCTACATATGTATCTGTTCAAATTAAGTGGATAAACCTTTGTCACGTTCTGTAGAACCTCTTCTAAAAACAATGGCACCAATCCTGAAGAGTCCGAAAATTTAGGCTGACCAGCAAAACTTTCATTTGAAACTGAGTTTCTGCTCAAATTCGATGTGTCCGAGGAAGACTTTGGTAAATTATCTTGTGACATAACACTTGAAAATTTTGGCACTGATTGACATTAAACATTTACCTATAAAAAGGTAAGATTTTTCAAAATTAATTCAAAATACTTACACTTATTTCTGCTGACAATTCAGATACAGTTTGGGATGGAAGGTGGCTGATGGTGGGTTGAGCTGTTGATGTCTCCCTGTAGGAACTTAAACTAGCTGGGGTATTTGTTGGGAGTTGTTGTTTCTTTTTAAGTTGTTCCTGAAAAATGAATACAATGTAAGTTTCTCTATTTTTTATTTTTAATAAACCTGGATTCATACACTTGACATACCAGTCTGGTTTTCTTTGAGGTTGGCCAGTCATTTATAAAGTTAAAATTTGAATCCAGTAAACAAGAACAAATAAATAAAGAGCCGCATGCAAAATCTCCTCTAGTGCATGTACTTAAGTTCTGATTGTCTCTAACCATATAATGTGCAAACATAGATGGTCATATCCTTCATTAACATCCAATTTAAAATCAGACTGAGTTAACTAATTGGTACTTTGATCAGACAGATAAGCAATAGAAATATTGTTTTCTAAATTTTTAGAGTATAAATCTAGCCTTAAACGATTAGAAAATTTTGCAAAGAATTAGCAAAGCACCTTGCCCATAGTCCAAGGCAATATACAAATCTGCGATTGTAAGTTTTTATCGATAATAAGCAATAATTCTTACCTTGTAACATAAAGAGCAAAGTCCATCTGTGGCAGGACTTCCATAAAAACCACATCCTGATCTACACAAAGCTTGCATGGGATTCGATTCGCGCTCCATGTTGAACCGGGGCGCCTACACGCAGGGGGTCAAAAAGGAGGCGAAACTCTTCAGCGTCGATGTGTAGTTGGTGCCCTCTCGATTGGAATTTGAATATTAGCTGAGGTTGACCATTGAAATTCTAATTTAATTTGCTGGAAAATAATAATTTATATTATTTTAGGTGGCACGCTAGTATATTATTATATATGTAATGACTTGGAACAATTAATTTTCTATTATTATTTAGTCATCTAAAAAGGATTGTGCAAATTAGTTGTAAAAATGCGAGTTTGTATTGACTAAACGTCAAGTTTATGTCAAATTTAAAGGTTAAACCAATATAAAGGTAAGATCAGGGATCAAAACTACAGTTTCTTTGAACATGACGTTTCTTGTTTATTTTTTTTCAAATCAGCGCAGTTCCGAAATTGTTCTAGCGATAATCCGAAAATAAATTGTGCAACGCTATCGTGATGTTACATCATCATTACTGACATTTTATGAAGAGAATAATAGTTTCAGAATAACAGGAATCTTAAGAGCGGATACAGGCAAGTGGCAGCACACAAAGATGACAAAGAAAAAGCTGCCTTCAGAAGCACCAGAAGCGGGTTATTCCAGTTTAACGTGATACCTTTCGGATTGTGTAATGCTCCGCTCCAGCTACGTTTGAGCGATGATGCATCTTATGTTGCGAGGCCTTACATGAAGAACTTGCCTGGTATATTTAGATGATGTCATGATCATGGGAAATTTCTTCCAAAAACATCTGAATAATCTGAAAGAAGTTTTTGACCGCTTCCGAAATGCCAACTTAAAACTCAATCCATATAAGTGTTTTCTATTTCGAAAAAAAATGGAATTCTTAGGTCATGTGGTAGCTGAAGATGGCATACAAGTTATGGAAGGAAAGATAGATGCTGTCAGGGATTGGCCAAAACCACGCGACAAACATGAACTTAGGAGTTTTCTAGGATTATGTTCTTATTATCGAAGATTTATAGAAGGATTTGCTAATATAGCTGCTCCGCTTTATGGATTAACAGAAAAAAATCAACATTCAATTGGACCCAAGAATGCGACTCCAAATTTAGAAAATTAAAAGGAGCATTATATACAAGTCCAGTATTGTCCTGTTGGCATGTTGATTTTGAACACAGATGCAAGCAACACCAGTATTAGAGCTGTCCTTTCACAAATCCAAAACTCACAAGAGCATGTCGTAGAGTACTATAGCAGAACCTTATAGTGTAGGTGCCCAGCGACATAAAGTTGCATTTATGAATACTGCCTTGGAATGTTGTGTGTGGCTTAATTGCGCCTAGTCTACCATCTTTTTCCTTTATGAAAACTTTCGTAGTGGGGGCTTTTCTTTTCTAGTTTTTCCGAAAGCCGACCATTTCGCGTGGTGCAAAAAATTTATAGATATCGTTTTTATTTTTAGTGAAATCGCGAGACAAATTCATGAAAAAGGCGAAAAAAAATGTGTCCGACAAAAATGTTGGAGCGTTAAGGGTGTCTACCAACTCAAACATATCCAATTGACAAGTTAAAGAAATTTTTGGATAACGAGCTGATTTTTTCAGAATTACTTAATAAAAATATGAGGAATATAAATATCCAATTGTCCGACATATTACATTTTCCGATTTTCCAGTCCGATGCGGGAAAATCATCGGTTTCACGAAGCCAAAAAATTTACGAATAACAATTTCTTCTTTCGATTTATTGTATTGAAAAGAACTATAGAACATAATAACTAAGTTGTCCGACAGTAAAACATTACCGCTTATGCGTAAAAAAGAAGCATAAAGTTTTTTTGAATTTAGTCGGTGTACGGTGTACCTGACGTCGAGGTGCGCTAGTGCGCTCCAATCATCTCCTGGGGCCGGATTCTCGGGCCAGGGAGTAGACTCCCCGATAGAACGAATGTTTTGTCCTTGTCAACGTTATCAAAAAGTGAACAAGAATGATAAAGACGAAACATTTGTTCTCTCGGGGAGCTCTACTCCCGGGCCCGAGGATCGGCCACCTGTTGTAATGATTCTTATGGAGTAGGAAACATTACATCATTATGTTTTTGATTTAAACAACAAAAAAAAATTATTTTGCGAAAAGACTATAATTTCAAAATACAACAAAATCGAATCAGTCACAGTCAATACGAAAGCAAACTCAAAAAAGCCGCTACATTCCGACCTACGCCTACTGCACTGGTGGTATTGAGGTTCTTGTTCATTCTGGTTTATTCTTGTGCTTGAAGTGTATACGTTATATACGACACTACTGGATCATATGAATAAAACAGAAGCAAATGCTTTTGCTTACGTTTTTTGAGACAAACATATTCAGCTTTATTGCAGCAAAAAGAGACAAAGGCAGAGTAAAAGTATTTGCTACACTTTATTCATACGGCTGAATATCAGCCGTATGAATAAATAAATATCTATTTTCGGTGACATAATTTGTCTAATCTACACAGTACAGTATTTAGATTTTTTTAAAAATGAATTGTTTTTTGTGTAATTCATTAAAAGGTAGACCTCATTTTGAACAAAAAACAGAAGTGAGAAAATTTACACCAGAAATATTTTCTTATTGTAAATTATTTTTAAAATCAAGACAGTTTCACAGCCTCAAATATAGTGATGTGATATTACCAGATACTTCCGATGATGAACTACATAATTGGTTATCATTCATCCTGCTAAACAATTCAATGTGAAAAAAAGGTATTTGGTGAATAAAAGGTAGATTCGATAAATTCAGAATAACATTTTCCATCTATAGATACTTATAAAAAGCCGTTTTTGGGAAAAACAGTTAAACACGATTTTACATATTTTGGGATTTTTTTTTTCTTTCATTCAGGGTGTTTGAAAAAGTCGGGTCTATTATTTTATTGTCAAAAAACGGTCAGTTTTTTGGAAAAACAGTACAGAACACAGTACCTATATTTTATTTTATGTCATACCAATACATTATTGTGTTTTTATACCTTAGATACCATCTATATAATTCATTACTTTATGCCCGTGCGGGCATAAAGTACACATTATGGCCCTCGCGGGCATAAAGACCCAAAAAAAAGTTTTCAATTAACTTAGTCTTTATTAACAAAATATAAATTTACGCTTATAAACATATTATTTTTGTCAAAAAATTATGATTTTGAACACTGATGACAATTTGCAAAGTGACACTTTTTTCCCAGGTATTTATTATTCACAACCAACTGGTATGACATAAAAATTTGTATGCACCACGGGTACTAATAGATATATATACCCTCGAGCGACTTACGAACCCTCGGGCCAGAGGCCCTCGGCTTTGTAAGACTGTCGCCCTCAGGGCATAATCATCTACTTAGTACCCTTGATACATAAATAACTATTATTTTTTACATATATCAGGATTCTATAAAAAAATCATACAGGGTGTGGGGAGTGGGCCATTTTGATTTCGCCGCGTAATAAAAAGTTATACCTACTTGTGCTCTCTTTTTTTTTTTAACTTGCATTATCACTGCACAGAACAGTAGTGTTGCATTCTTCGTTTAATTTGCAATGAAAAGTTTTTTCTCCAAGTTCATGCGATGTTTCAACACAAGATTCAGCACGAATTGATGTGATGTCTCTTTCATCTGAGAGTGAATGTGGAAGCAACGTATGTACCACAATCGTCTAATACTTTTACTTCTATAAGGGAAACACATAATATGGATGTTGATGATGAGTAAGAAATATAGTGGGTATTAAATTGAAGAGGTAGTCCATCTCTAAGTGCAGTTTAAATTTAATTCAAAGGTAAGAAGTCTTCCTCCACATTATATATTATACCCTACATATTTCGAGGATATATAGATCCTCATCCTCAGAGACAAAAAAGCTCAAAAATGGTGAAATAAAATAAAAGTCTAGGACGCCAGACCTCGCATTTGCACTGAGAGAAAAAAAAAAAAACTAATATACCTATAGAAATTGTATTACATCAGTTTAAATTCTGTATACTATTCGGGACAGAAAAGCAAAAGTATTACTAGTTTAAAACGCGTTGTTCTACACTTTTTTGCATACCCATCAATATTAATTGCTTTATTGCAACTATATAAGAAACTGTATCGAGATTATACAGAAGATAGTATAGTTATTGAATCAGAGTTTACATACCCAATGTACAAGTGGCTGTATAGTCATTGTACAACTGGTTAAGTAGCTATTATGCAAGTGGTTTTTTAGTGTTTTTAAGTTGCAGAATGCCCAATATATAAATAGTTGCATGGCTCTTAATAGAGTTGTTGTATAGCTATTATAATACTGGTTGTGTTGTCACACTATACCAGGATTGTATAGTTATTAAACTATGCTTTCTTTAGCGGCTGCATTATGTGGATACAAGAGTTTGTTTTAGCCGATGTACCGATATATTAAAAATCGCGTCGGTCGTCAGTTCAAAAATTTAAGTTTTGACAGAATTTAGTGAAGTAGGTATTTAATTCTTACAAAAATTACATTTCAGAACCGCCAAAACATAATTTTTAATATATCTTAACAACTGGTTAACAAAATTAAAATAAAAATGGAATAACCATGGATAAGTAGAATGCTTAACTAATAACTAGATACTTATTTATTGGGTATATACTCAAGGGGGTGACTTATAGTCCTGTATGGTATGTTTATAATTGATGTTTTTTGTCGGACAGCAAATTGGGCTTGATATATTTGTCGGACACTTATATTACATGTCGACTACTTCTCTTATATACATGATTCTTTTTTTGTCCGACAGTTATTCAATAATTTTTTGGCTTCGTGAAACTGATAATTTTCTCGCGTCGGACTGGAAAATCGGAAAATCTACTATGTCGGACACTTGGATATCTATATTCTACATATTTTTATTAAGTAATCTTGAAAAAATCAGCTCGTTATCCAAAAATTTTTTTAACTTGTCAATTGGATATGTTTGAGTTGGTAGACACCCTTAACGCTCCAACATTTTTGTCGGACACATTTTTTTTCGCGTTTTTCATGAATTTGTCTCGCGATTTCACTAAAAATAAAAACGATATCTATAAATTTTTTGCACCACGCGAAATGGTCGGCTTTCGGAAAAACTAGAAAAGAAAAGCCCCCACTACGAAAGTTTT